AGGGCGTGGCAACCCGCTCCAGTATTCTTGCCAGGAGAATCCCATGGACAGAGGAGCCTGACAGGCTACCGTCCATGGGGTCGCAAAGAATTGGAGAGGCTAAACACACACACACATTTTAATGTAGAATACATATGTAGCATACATGGGGACTTCCCTGGTGGCTCAGTGGTAAAGAATCCGCCTGCAATGCAAGAGGTGTGAGCTCGATCCTTGGGTCGGGAAGATCCCCTGGAACAGGAAATGGCAACCCACTCCAGTGTTCTTGCCTGCGAAATCCCATGGACAGAGGAGCCTGGCAGGCTATAATCCATGAGGTTGCAAGAGTTGGGCACTCCACCACCATATAGCATATATATTAATAATAAAACTTACATATGTGTAAATGTAAGTTTACACATTTACATCTGAAATAAGGATGCAGACAAGCCCTAGTTTAATTAGTAGTATTTGCTTTCTTATTCTTGCACATAGAACAACTGATGGTATATCTGATATGGTGAAGCACAATGCCCCTCCCCTTTAGGTTGTGAAATGGAACAATCAGAACAACCTCCGTTCATAGTAGAGGAAACTGAGGCAAAGTGAGGGACAGGAATGTTCCTCCTGGAGTTCCAGGGCATGAAGCATGGAACAGGTTTCCCCATGGGTCCCTCTGGAGTGGGGGGTGTGGAAGCCAGGAGAAATCATTAGCTTCTGGCTGACGCTCCTCTTTGTTATTCACTGGATTAGAGCCTGGGAGAGACTCCGGGAATAAAGGGAACGACCACCTCCCAGGGAGGGAGACGGGGCTGAGGTAAGTTTCAAGTTAGGAAAGTGTCTGCCTGTGGGGAGGTAGGCGGTGGGACCAGTGGGTTTCCCGAGGGAGGGTCTGAGAGCTCGGGGGAACCTGAGTCCTTAAGATCAAGGCACTGGCAGTCCTCTGGTGGCGGCTGAAAGCGCTCCTGCAAGCTGCCTATGCCTGGAGGCAACTCATAGACAGTCCTTAGCTCCCCCAGGGACCTCCCCCCCAACCCGCCCCAGGAGAACCATCTGGGACAGGACCTCCATGGACCAGGCTCTGACTTGGGCAAGCTTTAAATGTGAGGACTGGATATTTCACAAACGGAAAATGTGAGGCCCAGAGAGGGGAAGGGACTTGCCAAAGGCCCTGGACAAGGGGTGATCAGTACTTATTCTTGAGCATAACAGTACCAGCTTGCATGGATGGAGCACCACCTACGTGCCAGGCGTGTGCCAAGCACTTTATGCATGATTCTAAGAGACCACTGTTATTACTCCCACTTCACAGAAGAAACAGATGAGGCTCAGAGAGTTTTAAGCAACTTACTCCAGATCACGGTAGGTGGTGGAAGAATTTGGGAAGGAGAACCGCAGACCCAAGCTCCTTCCACAGCAAGTGGACCTCTTAGAATGTTTTCCAGAGCATCTATGTCCGCTACCTGCCACAGACTGGGGGGTCCTCACCCCTCTCCAGGCACGGGGACTCCCTGGGAATCAGACTTGCTCTCAGAAGCTCTCTGGAGGGAGGGGAGACACATGCAGGCACCTCACTACCAGGAATGCAGACGAATCGCCCTCCTAAACACCCTCCAGCAGCAGGAGTGGGGCGCCCAAGAAGGGATCATTCTGACTCCCTCCCCCTGGCGGAAGGAGTATCTCCCAGAACCCAGACTCTGCAAGGCCCCAGGTTGTGTTTCTGTTTACCCAGCTCTGGGCCAAGGTAGGTCCAGACCTCCTGGCTTCCTCTCCCTGTTGCAGACAACCTGGCATGCACTCAGATGGGGGCTATTCGAGAGCGGCTGTCGATAGGTCCCAGGGAAGAAGAAGGGACCGCTGTCCAAATAAGATGGGGAAGGAAGAGATATCTGTGGGCCCCAGGGGGGGGGAGTAGATTTCCAATTGAAACTGTCTTTTGAAAATGGGGCAAGACGGGGTGGGGAGAGGAGAGAGAGGTGTGATGTTAGGTCTGTCAGTCTGGGGTAGGGACAAAAATGGGTTGGTCTTAGGTTGAAATTGGGACCGAGCTGGTCTGTTCCTCCGTGTGTGCTCCTCCTCCCGGGTTCCCCGAGAACAGGACAAGACTGTGCACGTCTACCAGAGAGAACGTTCTGCAGGGGTTCAGAGGCTGCCGGGACCCTCTGGGTCTGAGATAAGGCACAAAGCGTCCACGTAAATGGGGGGAGGGAAGGGCAGCCTTCGGTCTACCACAAAGCCACTGGTTTGTCCTATACGTGGCCGCACAGATGGTGAGGAATCGTGCGGGAGGTCTGTCCAGGAAGAGCGGCTTGTAGGAGCCGGCCGGTGGCGCCTGGTGCACATCTGTGCCCAGAACCTCCGCGGCTGGCAGAGTGCAGGCGTCAACTAGCGGTGGGTCCTGGGACTGCTCCTTGCCCAGCAGCCCCGGCGACCTCCGGCTGGGGACCCAAGCGTCCACAAACCCAGGTTCCCCAGTTCTGGCGCCCACCGGCAGCAAGCGCCTTTTTCTTGGGCTGGAGCCGTGCAGGCACTAGTGGCCAGGTGCCAGGACCCACAGGAGTCCTATCCTCAGGAAACCCATTTGTAAACCGGCTGTAGGACGAGAGGGAGAAATCGGGTGGAGAGACCAGGAAGGGCACGGCTGCAAACCAAAACCACTCAATAAATCGAATTTACAAACCCCAGATGCAGCGGGTCCTGACCCCAAAGCCGCTCCAGGGCAGCACGGAGTCACCCGCCCTTTCTGGCCCGGGCCCTACCTGGACAAGACAAGGTGGGCCTTTGCAGCGGGAAGCTCCCAGAGGTCGGTCACCCCAACGCCCCTGTTCCTCACTTTCCTCCAGTTTTGCAGCCGGTATCAGCGCTCCCAAGAGTGTGCGGCCCCTCCCGGCAACCTGCAACTCCCACGTGCAGGCTCTATAAAAAGGTCCAGCGAGGGACCTTCGTTGTCCCCACTCTCTAAATGGTCTGAGGGGGACTGGTGTGAAGCTCTGACAGGGCTGGGGACCAGCTCTCCAGGTGGTCGAGGTGGGTCAGGGCCGATCCATCCTAGACCCGATACAGGGCTTGATTTCGTTTGGCAAAGACGAAGTGGCCCGCGATGGGTCAGATTCAGGGAAAGATCTTGCTGCCGCCATCAGATCCTATGCATCTTCGCTGCCGAGGCTTCGAATCAGTCGTTTTGCACCTGTCCAAGGCCGGAAACAACGAATATCCAACCCGATCTCCAAAACCGCAGGCAGACTCTGCAAGCGTTCGTTTCCCAGACTCCAGGGGGTCCATCTGGGGCGATAATCCAGAGCGAATGGGGGCTTGATCTTTCCAGTCCTCCTCCTCTGTATAGCCTGTCCCTAGGCCCGCTGTCCCGGCGTAAAAGGCTGGAGAGGGGATCCTTTGCCTGTTTTGCCTCCGGGAGCGGTTGCGCCACGCGGTTGGGGAGAGGGGAGAAGGGGAGAAGGAGCGAGGACCCCGGGCTGGCGAGCAGAAAGTGCCTCGGCAGAGCTGTCTGCATTCCTGCCGCAGGGCCAGAGCGCACTGCCTGGGAAGACGTGGGTGTGGACCCGCGTGGGCCAGTTTGCATCTACCGGGTGGATGAAAATTCCCTGCTTTGGAAGTCGGGGCCCTTAGCTTTTGAAGCCATTCCCGCGCCTTCTCTGCACGGTTTCCTTCTCATCACGAACTCTGGTCCTCTCCTAAGAAGCAGGACAGCGTTTAGATGCCCGCGGGGGGTTGGGGCTTGGGGGTTGGGGGAGAGATGGGGGGAGTGGAAACGCTCGCGTTTTTCAGGCAGCGTCGTGGTTTTCAAAGAGCCATAGGCCGACGACGCAGCGAGGCCTGAGCGATCCTGAAAGTCATTTTTGGAGGGGAGAGCGGAGAGAAATGGTGTTACTCGCCCCCACGCCGATGCTGGCACGGAGGGGACCCCCTTCTCTCTGGCCCCGGGCCGGGAGGAAGGTTGCACGGGGCTCGGTGCTGCAGGGGCCTCTGCCTGGTGAGCATCCTCTCGTGTGCGGTGGAGGTTCTGGGGTCAAAATAATTTGCGGGACAGATAGGGGCAGGGAGAAGGTATTCTGGGGCCGCTCCCCGCTCAGTGTTACCGGCCTTGAACGGGCCCCCCTCCCCCGGCAGTCCCCATCTGGGGGTGGTGGGGGTGCAAGCATCACAGGCCGAAAGCAGCTGGAGCTGGGGAGGCCTGGCTGCCGGCGGCCGGGAAGGGCGCCCGAAGAAGCTGGGAGTGGGGGGGCAGCGGCTGGAAGGACTAGATGTTTTAAACAAATTCTCAGCCTCGGCTCCAGCTCCCCAGAACTCTGGAGGAGCCCAGGGCTGTCGCGCAGGGAGTCGGGGGGGTAGCCCAGCCCGGACCCCGGGAGCCCTCCCCGGGCGGAGCCTTCCGCCCCTCCCCGTTGGGCGGCCTTCGGAGGCCCCCGTTCCTCCCCGGCGAGCGCAGCCGAGGTGCCCGCGATGGGGGCTCCCATTGGCTGCGCGACGCGTCGCTCGGGCCGGCCCCGCCCTCGCGGGCCCCCGGGGGTACTAACCCCGCGCGGGCGGCGGCGGCGGCGCGGCCACTCGGTTCTCGAGGATTTTGTTCTGGGGCTGCGGCCGCCCAGTCGGTGGGGCGGCCACGAGCGGGCTGCGGGCTGCGGGCGGCGGGCGGGCGGCGCGCCCCGCCTCAGCCTGAGCAAGGCCGCCGGGACCGCCGCGAGGAGCCGCCGCACGCGGGCCGCGCTAACGCCCAAGATGCGGGACTAGCGGGCCGGGCCAGCGGCGCGGCCGTCGGGGGGGCGGTGAGGCCTCGCGGCGGGCGTCCCCGGGCGCCGCCCCCCGCCACCCCACTCCACCCCACCCCACGCCCCCGGCGCCCTGAGGCCCCAGCCCGGCCGCTTCTGCTTTCCCGCTTCTCGCAGCGGCAGCAGCAGCGGCGGCGGAGGAGAGGCGCCCGCGCCGGCCGCCCCCGGGGGAGCCGAGCCGCCGCCGCCGCCCGCCCGGCGCCCTGACGGCCGCTGTTATGCGTATTCCTGTAGACCCGAGCACCAGCCGCCGCTTCACACCTCCCTCCACGGCCTTCCCCTGCGGCGGCGGCGGCGGCGGCGGCGGCGGCAAGATGGGCGAGAACAGCGGCGCGCTGACCGCGCAGGCGGCCGTGGGCCCCGGCGGGCGCGCCCGACCCGAGGTGCGCTCGATGGTGGACGTGCTGGCGGACCACGCGGGCGAGCTCGTGCGCACCGACAGCCCCAACTTCCTCTGCTCCGTACTGCCCTCGCACTGGCGCTGCAACAAGACGCTGCCCGTCGCCTTCAAGGTGAGTGCGTGGGAGGCCCCCCACCCCCGGGCAGGAGGACACCGGCCCGGCGGCCCCGGGCGTCTCCGCTGCAGGAGCCAAAGCCCCGGAAAAGGGAGGGGAAGGGAGGCGCCCGAGAGACCCCCGCGGTGAGAGCCCGGCCGCCGGGCCCCCCGGAGCTTTTGCGCGCTCCACCCGGGGACTTGGGCGTACACTCTAGAATGCACCCGGCACGGATGACTTTTTAAGGGCTTTGCCACCTTCGGTCTTGGGGTGGTGGGGAGGGGGGCCCTACAGAGAGACGGTTGATGCGGAAACGGGCGGATGGGGTTTCGCCCTTCCCCAACCCGGATCCCTCGGATACAGCCCTGCGGGCAGCGAGCGGGGCAGAGAGGAGCCCTGGGACCCGGGCGAGGACCCCGGAGGCGGGGTGCGGAGGGTGGGAGAGGGCCTACCCTCCCCTGCCCGCACCCCTCCTCCTGCACGGCTCTCAGAAAACACTTCCTGCTCACACCGTCAACCCCTGGCTTCTGAACTTTTACACCGGGAGGCTCCAGGCCGGGATGGGGGGCCCTGAACCCTAAGCGATTGCTGGCCGGGATCCCGAATGTCAGACCGAGATGGGGGGGGGCGCTCCCACACCTGGCAGCCCCTGGTAGCCATCCCAAGGAGCTTTTTTCTATTTGCTGGGGATTAGGCGACTGTTTCATTTTCATTTTTTTTAAGGGGGCAGCGAGATGAAACGAAAACGCCTTGGTTTTCCCCTAAACCTCTCACAGCTGCCGTGAGAAAGGGCAACGCAGGAAGGGCCAGCGGCTGGGGGTGGCGGGTGCCCGAGGTGACTGGAAACAGCGGCTCCTGGCAGCCGAGGCCGTCTTCGGTCCCATTAAGACGACTCCAAATTGGAAAAAGGGATGAGTGGCTCTTTGAGGTCTCCCGGGTGACATCTTAAAATACCAGTGGGGAAAATCTCCCGGGGAGGTGGGGGAGGGGGAGGCCCGTGTGACTTTAATCCTCAGATTGGAGGTTTTACTGTCACTTGGAGCTTAAAAGGAATCTTTGAAATTAAAAGAAGACAGGATGTTGACAGGAAATCTGGCCTTTTTAATCAGACCCCAAACATTTTCTCCTTGAAATTTTTACCATCTGGATCCCCAGTCCCTGCACGCGGTGGCCACGTTTAAATGGCTGTGACTGCCTTTGCAGTCTGATTTCCTTTGCAAAAGGCATCTGCCTCTCCACGCTCCTTAGGGCCTGGGGTGGGGAAGACTGTATTGGGGGGGGGCATCTCCACCTTCATTTTGCAATTCCTCAGCAGGTGCATCTTCCTGCTATCAGAAGCCCCTCTCTCACTTTAAAGGGGGTTTCTGGGCAGCCCCTCTCAAAACAGCGGTTTGTTTTGCGTTTTGCATTTTCCCTGCATAACGAATTCAGGCTCTGCAGAGGCAGATAAACTGGGCCTGGGCCGCATTTTGGCGCCCCACTTCATACCCCAAAGGGCTCTTGCCTTAATTGAATGTGGGGGAGCAGTCCCGTTATTGTTGTTGTTGATATTATTTTCACTCAGAGACTCGGTTGCTAGGAGTGTGTTGATTCCTCTTTTGCTCAAGCCGAAGGGAAGAGAGGAACTGCACCCCAGGACACAGTGTCTGTGCTCATTCCCCGCTTTCACTTAGGTTTCGTTGCATTTAAAGGATCAGTTCTTCAGGATGTGATTTAACCAGTTGATGTAGGATTTGGGTGTGGAAAGTAGAGATTTTTGCCTTCTGATTTTTGTGGTATTGGTGGGGCGCAAGTGCCTATTGTTTTTAAGCCTCTTCTCCACCCCCGCATTTGAAAAATCCGCATTGCGCCTGGGCCGCGTAGGGAAGCTGCTGCCCCGGCCCCCGCTTCTTTCGCTGGCCTCCCCTACCTGCCTAAGCTGTCCCCCCACCCCCATGCCCTCAGGTGGTGGCGCTGGGGGACGTGCCAGATGGAACGGTGGTGACAGTGATGGCGGGCAATGACGAGAACTACTCTGCTGAGCTGCGCAACGCCTCAGCCGTCATGAAGAACCAGGTGGCCAGGTTCAACGACCTCCGCTTCGTGGGCCGCAGTGGGCGAGGTGAGCGGAAGGGCAACTTTGGTGATGACAGAGGCGCAGGGAAGTGAGCTGAGAACGAGGCTTTGGGGTCCTTGCATAAGCCCTCGAAACAGGTCTCCAGGCCCAGCTCTGTCCAAAACAGCAGTTTGGAACCCCGTAAGGTGTTTCAGACCCTTTGGAGGAGGTGGAGAAAGTTAGGGTCTTTGGCCAGAAAAGACACAGTTTTCTTCCCGTTTCTGGGGTTTACTAACTTGTGAAGCCTTCCCCGTCTCCCCTGTTTCGGATAAGCTCCTCAGCCTCACAGGAGATGCTGGGGGATCGCGGACCAACAAGCTCAAAATGGGGCCTCACGGGTCTTTACGGCGGGGCGCATTGCTTAGAAGCTGGTTTTGACAAATCCTTGGTCTTTGGGGCCCCGAACACCCCAACCACTCTCTCCACTGGGGTGGAGTCTCCCCCACACTTTGAGGCTGCCTCTCCCCAGCTGTGGTCTTCCGAAGCCACAGTTTCGCCAGCCCCTTTGAACCTTAAGGTGGTTTAGAAAAGAAAAAACCGAACTCAGTGCAGGATGCTGGGTGCTGGAAAGCAGAGCTTGAAGGCTGCCATCTCCCACTCTAGAATCAAGGCTGGTGTGCCAGCCTGCCTATCTGATCTTCCTCGGGCATTAAGAGGGAAGGCAGGACCAGACGCCGCTGTGGCTGCCGCCAGGGGCTATTGAGTGGGAGGCAGCTGGGACCTGAAACCCCGTCACCACTTCTGAGTTGAGAAATCCTAGAACCCCGGCCGGGCGAAATGGAGACTTGAGGGCTTGCTGGCCCTTTAAGACCAGGCTGCCGAAAAAAGCGAAAAGTGGGGAGTGCCCTTCCCAGGCAACCAGCCGACTGCTCCAGTTTGTTAAGAAAGCTAGCTAGGTTCCCTCTGCTTCCAGTCCTCCAGAGAGGCTGAGGCAGAATTGTACTTTTCATCACCAATAAACAAGACCTTCTTAAGGTTTTAGTTCCCTGTGAGCCGCCAGCCCAGCTCGGAAACGGGCATCTGGGCACCATTTTTTTCCTCTCCAGCCGTTCAATGTATACATACAAATGTCAAACATATTTTGACTTTTCAGCATTAATTAAAACCAGGGCATTATTTGCATGTAATAACTGTTTACTTGTTACTTTTTTATGAAACTGAAATAGTTTACATTCTTTCAAACATTTCCTGTTCCTGTTGGCTCCCTTCCCCACGCACAGATTTCTTTCAAACGTTGCCCTTAACTGGTTGCAGGTTGATGGATGGAAAATGTTTGCTTTTATGAATTAAGCTTTCATTGCTGCTCCTAATTAGTCTCCAAGCCCCCTTTGTCATTCCCAATTTCTCAAGCCTTTTGCAACTTAATCCCAGCCCCGAGTGGAGAGCCGCTCACCACTGGTTGGCAGGGGGCTTGCTCGGATGCGGTTGGATCTTGGGCGGTGGCCGGGCCCACCAGTGGCAGTGTAGGGCACCTGGAGCTGCAGCAGAAGGGGCATTCTGTGCTGGGAGCCCAGCGACGCGTCAGGAATGGGTTCCCCTACTCCCTCTCCTGGAAAGTGACGAGTTGGTTATTCTGTGTGTTCCTGAGACCTCACCTGGCCATCCCGCCACTGAAAATGATTTCTTGGTAGTATTTATACCCACAGACCTGCACCCACCCCACAAGGCCCACAGAGAAGGAGCTAGGTTTCCAAAGCATCGTTCAGCTGAGGGCTCTTGGAGCAGGCACTGCGGAGGGAGGCTGGGACCCTGGCTCTGGGAGGTGCAGGAGGCCGAGTTTACAAACTCCATTCTCTCTCCAGTCTCAGTGGTCCTAGGAGGCAGAAGAGGCCTGAGCGGGAGTTCCCATGCCCATGGAACTTGATGAGCCTTTCAGACCTTGGAGGCTCATCAGACAGCCTGGGCTCTGCAACCAGCTCTGCTGGTGACTCACTGGATGACACTGGGCAAATGGCTTATTAACCTCCCTGTGTCTCCGTTGTTTCCTCATCTATAAGATGGGGCAATACTCGAACCTACCTCGTGGGATTTCTGTGAGCATTAAGGAAACTGGTACTAGTGTATCGGTTGGCACCTGCTGAGAACGGGATACAGGTTAGAGATTGTGTTACTTCAAGTGCCTGGGACTGGAGGAGACCTTTGAAGTCCCTTTGAGTGGTGACAGTCACTGATTCTCTGATTATGGTGTGGTTTGGGCGGGGGTGGGGGAAACCCAGAAGGTGTGAATTGTTGAGTGGGAGAAGTGGAGGCGGCTGGCAGTGAGGAAGGAGGACACAGGGGTCCTGTGGCATGCAGCCACGCCTCTGCTGCGCCCAGCCTGCCCATTGGGAAATTCCCTCCCAGGAACACATCGGTGGTTGACACAGACAGTTTGGGCCACCTTAGGAGTCAGGACAGCCTGGGGTTTGGGACTCCAAGCCTTTCCCTGGCTCTCTGCCTTCTGCCAGAACTTAAGAAGCCAGATGGAAACTTCTGTTCGTCTCCTTGCTTTTTATCCCTTGATCCTGCCTTAATTCTGAGAAAGAGATTTCTGTGCAAGACGTATACACAGAACTACCACAGACCTCTCATGATAAGCCCGAAAGTGTACACCAAGAGAAGAAAGGGGAGGAAAACCAAGTCATTCTCCTGCAGTGATTAGGGCTGACGTCCCCACCCTGCCAGACACAGCACCCCTTCTTACAGAAGCTTTTTGCAACATGCCCTCTACCATCCTACAGTTGAAATGTGCATGATATCGTCATGATCTCTTCACCTACATGCATTCTCAAAATCGATATAATTCCATAACTAATGGAGAGAAAAAGGAAAAGTAACTTTATCACAATGTATCTATTTGAATATGTAAATGTTGGGGCAAGCCGACAGACATTGTGGGGTGGATCGATGTTTGCACCTCTAGCAGAAGCCCCGTGACCCCCAAGCCGACAGGCCAGGTGTACGTGACTCAGAGTCTGAAAGTGGCACCGTCGCCAGGGACACGATTTGCTGAAGCTGTGAGAAATTTTTGGCAAAACTCTGAGCAAAATTTTTTTGAAACAATTAAGAACTATCTTCCCTTCTGGAAAATTCAGTAGATATTAAAAGAGTGCAAAAACTTCTGTTTTGTGTAAAACTGAGTTAGGCTCGTGGCTTAGAGACTCTCTGTAAGCAGGTTTTCACACACAGGAAGAGTGAATAATCCATTGCCCTGTGCAGTGCTAGACAGTTGTATCTCCCCTACCCACCACATCCCACCTCTTGAGGACCACGCACCATGAACTCCCAAAATGGCCGCTAGTCAAAGCTGTGGTTTTTCCAGTGATCATGTCTGAATGTGAAGGTTGGACTATAAAGAAAGCTGAGAGCCGAAGAATTGATGCTTTTGAACTGTGGTGTTGGAGAAGGCTCTTGAGAGTCCCTCGGACTGCAAGGAGATCCAACCAGTCCATCCTAAAGGAGATCAGTTCTGAATATTCGTTGGAAGGACTGATACTGAAGCTGAAACTTCCAGTACTTTGGCCACCTGATGGGAAGAACTGACTCACTGGAAAAGACCTTCATGCTAGAAAAGACTGAAGGTAGGAGGAGAAAGGGGACGACAGAGGATGAGATGGTTGGATGGCATCACCGACTCAATGGGCATGAGTTTGAGTACACTTTGGGAGTTGGTGATGGACAGGGAGGCCTGGCATGCTGCAGTCCCTGGGGTCACAAAGAGTCGGACACGACTGACCGACTGAACTGAACTGAACTGAACTGGGGAGGGGGCCACTGGGCTAGGTGAAGATGAAAAGAACTGAACCGTTACAAATTGGTTAAAAAGAAACCTCAGTGTGTGGAGAGAAATTTGGAATGCGATCGTGGGCACAGGTTTAGGGGAACCACTGGTGGGGGAGGAGTAGATGGCTTCTTGGTCGACCCTGAACAAATCCAGAGGCCCCCGGAGATGAGTCCTCCCCCTGTCCATGAAGCCCCAGGGGCGGGGACTTGTTCCACAGGAACCCAGGCCTAGAGGGACAGAGACTTGCCCAGGACCTCACTGCCAGACCCCGCCATGTGCTGCTCCATCCAGCGACCAAAACCCGGGTCCTCCGGCAAAGCCTGGGAGCTGTTCTCAGCCCCATGGAGCAGCAACTTCCAGACTAGGACTCTCCCCCCCCCCCCCCACCCCCGGCTTCCAGGGCTGCCTGCCTACTCCTAGGAATTGCACCTTGATGTGCAAGTGAGCCTGGGATTCCTACACAAAGTCCTCTGGCTTCCTGCCCTTAAGAGATGGCTGGATGGGTTTGCTGCCAGGCACAGAGACAGGCGAGGGGCTCTCTGGGAGACAGCTTCCCCCACCTCTGGTTCGCAGTGGTGGGGGGCAGCCTCCTGTGGCACCTGATGCCTGGCCCCCTCCCTCCCACCCCTACTCCCAGGTCCCAGCTCCTCCCTTCGTCCTTCCTCCCTCCTTCCTCTCTGTGGGTACCTGGGAGGGGTGGTGTCAGGCCTGGAAACTGGGAGGAAGCTGTTGAAGTGGGCTGGTGACCTCAGTGCTGGCCTGTGGTTTGCTGCCTAGTGGGGTGGAGTTTCTCACACCCAAGGAGTAGATGCTTAGGGTCGGTGTGGCGGGGCAGGTTCCAGTAAGTGCTGACTTTTCTGGGTTCCACTTGGTTATTGTGGGACCTAGCCAACTCATTGCCCTGCTGTGAGCCTCAGTTTTCTCATCTGTAAAATGGGAGCAGTAACTTTTACCCTTAGTTCATTCCACAAGCATTTATTGAGCATGTGCTATGTGCCAGATGCTGTCCTAGCGGCTGGGGACAGAGCAATGAAGAAGACAAAAATTTGGCCCCCACAGAGCATATCATCTAGTTGTTCAGTTGCTCAGTTGTGTCTGGCTCTTTGTGACCCCTTGGACTGCAGCATGCCAGGCTTCCCTGTCCTTCACTATCTCCCAGAGTTTGCTCATGTTCCTGTCCATTGAGTTGATGATGCCTTTCGACCATCTCATCTAGTAGAGGGAGACAAAATAAATAAGTAGATGGATTATTAGCAGTAATAAGCCTTAGGAGGAAATTCAAGCCTAGCAAGTGGAAGTGGGAAGGTCTATGATGCTTCAGAGTGAGCTTCTTAATCTTTCTTCGCTCCAGGAACCCCTTTAACAGTCTCAGAATAGTGTTTTTCAACCTAGAGGGGTGGGATGGAGCAGGAGGCGGGAGGGAAGTTCAAGAGGGAGGGGACACATGTATACCTACGGCTGATCCATGTTGATGTATGGCAGACATTTACACAATAGTGCAAGGCAATTATCCTCTAATTAAAAATAAGTTTTTTAAAAAGTGGACCACCATGAAAAAAAATAGGAATGAAATAAAATGCAAAGGATGGTAATGAAAGCCAATTATATTAAAACATAGTTAGCAAAACATTTTTTTAATGTGATAAATATGCTGCTTTGTTAGCGTGTTAAATAGCAAGATCTAGCAATGGTTTGATGATGACTGTGACTTTGAAGTTGTGACGAACACAAAAGATATTTAAAGAAATTTGCGTGATCTGTAACATGATATGTTAATATCTGTGACGTCTGTTGGTGACAAGGTCACGGAGACTGCTGTCATGCCTCTGTGATTTGTTGCATACGTTCATCCTTCAGAGAGATGCTGCATTTCAGGTGGAGGCTAGGGAAGATACAGTTGTTGTCCTTTTCTTGTGTTTTTTTTTTTCTATTCTCAAGCCCGTTCAATTCTCAGAGGCATGCCAAGATAAAAATGCCTCCTTTAGATAAAGTGACCCGGGAGGGCCTCCCTGGGAAGGTGACTTTAAAGTGATGACCTGAAGGAAGTGAGGCTAAAAACAGAGGGCTTCAGTGAGCTGGCGAGTGCAGGGACCCCCACGGTCCATCGGCTCTGGGCTGGCCACCTAAACCACCCTGCGGTACCAGGGAGGTGATGGAGGGGTCAGAAGCCCAGGGACCTCTGGAGAGTGCCCGACTGGCTGGGGAGAGGGTCCAGTGGGGAACGGACCTCAGAATGAGAGGAATCAGTAGTGGGGTAGAAGGGTCCCTGAGTGGGCAGAGAGCCTGAGGCCAAGAGACTTTCTGCACACTCTGTTTCCAGAAGCCATGGAAAGTGCCCCTGTGGTCTGAGAGTGAGGGGCCAGGCTGGTTTCTCTGGCCCCGAACGCCAGGTCAGATGCAGGTGCATTTCCATCCCTGCCTCCAGCTGCCAGCTCTGGAAAATTCCTCCAGCGAGGCCCCACTCTGCCCCAGTTCGAGTCACACCTCAATTTAAACCACCACCCTTCCCCTGCTCCCTCCCACATGCAGATACTCTCTCCCAGGCTCAGAAGCCCCCGTTGGTGTGGCCCCAAGCAGCCTGGCTGATTTTCCTTTTTTTTAAATTTTTATCCGAGTGTCTTTGCTTTTAGGGGCTTCCCTGGTTGCGACTTGTGGGGTCGCAGAAAGTCAGACATGACTGAGCGACTGAACTGAACTGGTGACTCAGACAGGAAAGAATCTGCCTGCAGTGCAGGAGACCCGGGTTCGATCCCTGGGTGGGGAAGATCCCCTGGAGAAGAGAATGGCCACCCACTCCAGTATTCTTGCCTGAAAGATCCCGTGGACGGGGAGCCTGGTGGGCTATAGTCCATGGCATCACAAAGAGTCAGACACGATTGAGCGACTAACACACATGTAATTGCTTTACGGTGCTGCGTTAGTTTCTGCTGCAGAGCAAAGTGAATCAGCTCTATGTGTACAGATATCCCTCTTTTTTTTTTTTATTTCCTTTCCATTTAGGTCACCGCAGAGCATTGAGTAGACTTCCCTGTCTGTACAGTAGGTTCTCATTATTCTGTCCTGTTTTATGCATACAGTGTGTACATGCCAGTCGTAATCCCCCGGTGCATCTGCATCCCGCCCACTCTTCCCCCGCGGTGTCCATACATTTCTTCTCCTCGTCTGTGTCTGTGTCTGCGTTGCGAATAGGCTCACCTGTGTCATTTGTCTAGATTTCACATATATGTGCTAATGTACGCTGTTTGTTTTTCTCTCTCTGACTTACTTCAGTCTCTGCGACAGTCTCTAGGTCCATCCGTGTCTCTGAAAACGGCCCAGTTTTGTTCCTTTTTATGGCTGTTTTCTTTTGCTCTGGGTTGCTCTGTTTCTGGGGCTGGAATTTCCACTCCCATCACTAGATCATCAAGTACCAGCCACGCTAAGCTAGCTATTGGTCCCTCCCCCCAACACACACCCCTCAAACTTTTGTCTCCCACCCGTGTGGTGGGAATATGGAATTGGGTCTGCCTGTCTGGGATGGGTGTTGAGAGTACGAGGACAGCCCTGGGGGACACGGGTGCACAGAGCCGTTGGCCCCTGCCCTTGGGGAGTCCCCAGGCCTGTAACTGGGGACCAGAGGTAGGGGTGCTCAGAGGCAAAGCAGAAGGAGGCCAGTTTGACTTGGGGATCAGTGATGCTCGCCGCCCCCCCCCCATATATCGTGGAGACTTTGATGACAATAGAGAGCAGGGCAGGAAAGGAGACTCCGACTTCAGGAAAATCGGGTTGCCCTTTGAGGAAAAACTTTACCTTCTACCAGGCCACCCAGTAAATCCCTAGAAGAATCAAAGAACAACGTAGGAGGTAGAGAGGATGATATTGATCGAAGGCACCCTTTATCTGTTTGTTCCACGGGGAAACCTCCCCAAACATGAAAAGACAGGAGCAGTCACAAATCAAGAGGTAGAACTGAAAATGCAAATCAGCTTGGAGTCAGAAAGCGAAATGTAAGGGCCAGTGAAGTGGGAAGCCGATTGCCACAAACAGGACAAGGAAAGTGTTAACAAGCTTGCTAGAGAGTGGTAGTTTTTTTTTAAGGCATTAAAACCTTAAAACTTTGGAACACCAGGAAGCAGTCATTTGTGTTGGATGAGGACAGATGATAAACATATAAAACGTTTTAGTCTCACTGATAATAGAAGAAAGGTGTTGAAGCTTAGAGCGTTTCAGAGATCTTCTACCTTGATAGACTTGGTCATGAAGATGCTGACAACATCACAGTAGACCCGGCCCCACACCGATCACAATGCTTCTCTCTGGAGAGTCATCTCAGTGGAGAGATCAGCGCCCCTGAATCCATCTCAGCCCTCTGATGCAATAAAATCATTCACCGCTGCCTGGAACCTAGGCCAAGGAAATAAGCAGAGGTGTAGACAAAGATTTTTATAAACAGAAGGTCATTTTCCTTTTATTTTAAACGGTAACACAAAAATGATGATTTTTGAAGTTTTTTTTTCCCTCCTCAGGAATTTTGAATGGAGACTTTGGGGCCAAATGTTTATCTAAAAATAGAACAGGGTTCTGGAAATAACAGTTGTGTCTACAAATGAAATGTCTAGCTCCCAAATCAGTCCTTTTTCAAGCTCCAGTTGCACACGCCAATAAGAAATGAGTAGCAGCATAAATACCCAAGATAAGGAGATGGATAAATAAAAGATGAGGCTTCCATGAGTGGAAATATTTTGCAGCCATTAAAAATGAAGTTTATGAAGAATTTTTAATGACATAAGTGCTCATGATGTGATGTTAAGTGAACAGGACAAAAAAAAAAGAGGGTATGGAAATATTTACTTCATTGTCATTTTTACAACTGTGTAAAAACATACACTCGCCCGAAAAGGGTTGCAGGAGAGAAACCCCAAATGTCAGTAATAGTGTTTCTCTCTGGCTAGTGGAACTGTGGGTGATTTTTTTCTTCTTTTTTTATATTTTCTGTATTCTCAAAATTTTCTCTAAAGGTTACAAATTATTTTCAGGAAAAAATATATACCGATCCTAGCCCCCATCCCAAAATCCTGAGTGTCTCTGAGGAACAGCACAAAGGCCAAAAAACAGGGTGGCCAGGGTGGCCAGAACACAGGGTCGGGGGAGTGTGATCAAATGGGTACCAGACTTCGGGGGGACCTTGAATGCCAAGCCCAGCAGCCTGAATTTCACCCAGAGCCCTCTCTTCTGCCCCAGGGTCAAAGGAGAGAGACCCGGCCCTTCTGGAAGATGAGGGCTTCGGGCTGTTGTGAATAGCTTCCTGGTGCCAACCTCCTGCCTTTATTCCCCCCCAGGTAAGAGTTTCACGCTGACCATCACCGTGTTCACCAACCCCACGCAAGTGGCCACCTACCACCGCGCCATCAAGGTGACCGTGGATGGACCCCGGGAGCCCAGACGTAAGTGCCAAAGCCACCGGACTAACTGGGCGGGGGAGGAGGGCCCAGCGGGGTCAGCAGGGTCAGGCAGAGGGCGCTGGATCCCTGGAGCCATGGGGACTGCAGTTCTTGTGCACAGCGCTCGCCGCGGCCTCCCTGCGCTGTACCTGTGCTTAGCCTGGGGCTGGAGGAAGCCAGGCTGCAAAGGGGAGGTGACGGATCAGCTTGACCTCCACCCTGCCACCCCAAGGGTTGACTGCCCACTGAGGGGGCGACGGGGGAATGTGGAAAGGAAAGGATGGAAAAGACTGCAGAGAGGGCGGCGTGTGTTTGAGGGAGAGATGGGGCAGGTTGGCTTGACTCCACCCCAGCTTCCTCTGACAGTGTGGGAGGGAGGGAGCACCCAAAGCAGGTGTTGCTCAGGGTATGAGGCCACATCCCCGCCTCGGAAACCCTTCCTTTGAATCTGTGTGACTTAAGTCTCACAGAGCCCGGATACTCCGACCCCAGGGCCCACCTCTTGAGATCAGGAATGCAGATTTGCTTCTGTTTATTGAGCACATATTCTGTGCAGGGAGCAGGTCATCCATGCATTTTAGCATCAGAGGGTTTCTGTTTTGTTGCTTCTGCCTGCTGGATGACCCAGAGTTTCAGATTCAGATTAGGGAAACCAGAGGGGCAGCTGCCACTGTGGGCCAGAGACCTGTGTTTCCTGAATGAATGAGGGAATGAATAAATGAATGAAACAAGCAACCAGTCATCTCTGGTTGCTTCTTGAACTCAGAGCAGAGTGCTGATGTGGACTGGCTCCGACCTGTGGCATGATCGATGTATTGAGAGTTGCCATGTCCTTGTCTTTGTCGCCATGGCCCTTTACAGTTTAGAAAACCCTCTCTCATTTTCTTGTCTCATGGGATCCTGAACCAGAGGGTCACTGGGTTCCCAGGAGGAGGAATCCAGCCCTGGGGATGTTGAGAACCTGGCCAGGGCCTCACGCTGTCTCAGGTGTAGGAAGGTGCCCAGTCTTCCCAGAAATAGCTTTCAGTTCCAATTCCAGGGCTGAGTGGGCCTGAGGAAGGAGGCTGGCAAGGGCTATGGCTGTGCAAGGGCAACATCAGTGAGGACCACCAGGCCTGGCCCTGGGCCCCTGTCTCTTTTGGGGAATCAGGCCTGGCCCCCCATCTGTCCAGCCCACACTAGCACCTGGCCACTGGAGCAGGGCTCAGAGCAGGGTCTCGCAGCCCTGGAAGTGTTTCCCTGCAGGCTTCTCAAGGCCACCTCCTCCACAGCCCCCTAGGCTCCTGATCACGGTTATCAGGCCCAAGTGATTCACCTCCCATCTGGCACCTGCCCTGGTACCTTCCTGCTGGTTCCTTCCTGCAGGGATTAGATGTGGACGGGCCCATGACTGTGACCTGGGGCTTTGTGACTCGAGAGAAGTCTTGTCTCCTTTTTGGTCTCGGTTTTGTCATCTGTGAACCAGGTCAGTGACCCCAAGAGTCTCCAGGCGGTGATGGCTGGGAAGCCCTTGTAAGCCACAGGTGCATAGTACAGAGAGCAGATTCTGACCCGGCTTGCCTGGCCGGGGGGCCTTGGGGCACTCCTTGACTTCTCTGTGCCTCAGCTGCCTCCTCCAGGAAGTGGGATGTACCTCCCAGCCTGCCGGCCAGTGATAGCATGTGGATAGTATCTGGCTGTAGCAGAGGGAGGGTCCTTGTGAGTCTCTGGATCCCTGGTGTTCTGTTAATCCTTGTTGTCTGGCTTCCCCTATACTCCCACCACCACCACCACTGGTCGATAGAGACCTTTCTTGGTCAGCAGCAAGGGGGCTGCTGAGAAACCCAGGTCATAGTAGTGGAGGTATTGAGTCTCTGATGAAGGAGGTGCTATTTTACTGTAAGTCTCCAGGGGCCGAATCAGGATGAATGGGGGCCCCAGTTGGGCTCAGCGTGATGCTGAGCACTGAGGGGCCACTCCACAAAGCGGCGAGTTTCCCGTGCATAGAGGCAGGCGGGCAGGGGACTTGGAGCTTGGTGGGAAGGCTCCCAGGACCCAGCCAATGCCTGGATCCCTCAGATTCCAGAAGGGTCCAATGCTTGGACCCTCTGTGTTCAGCCCTGCCCAGCGCAGAGCTCCCCATCGTCCCTGTTTGAGGCCACTGGATGAGGGTGGAAGCTCAGCTCTCTGCCCCCAGTCGAGTCCTTGTCTGCCCATCTCTCCCTAGGTCTCCCACACCTGAGATGGCCTCTTCCTGGGGTGAGCTGGTCGGGGCAGGGATGGCATAGTTGGAGGCAGCAAGAGGAAGGGTATGAAGCTGGCCTCTCAAAGACCCTGGAGTCAGAAGCAAGTCAGTGTGGGCCAGATCAGTGCTTTTAAAGCAGTTTCTTGAAACAGAATCTTGGTTGTTGTTCAGACGCTAAGTCATATCCGACTCTTTGCAACCCCATGGACTGCAGCACACGCCAGGCTTCCCTATCCTTCACTGTCTCCAGGAGTTTGCGCAGACTCATGTCCATTGAGTTGGTGATGGCATCCAACTGTGTCATCCTCTGCCGCCCTCTGATCTTAGCAGATGCTCCTTTGTAGAAAAGGGTGGATGTGGGAGGCGGCCCTCCTGGTCTCCCTTCAGAGCACCTGCTTGCTCCTCCCCTCCGCCCGGCCCTGGGAGCAGGTCTCCCCAGCACCCCTGGTTCCAGCCCCAACCTGGCCTGCACTCTGCCACCTTTGGACACTGCCGCCTCCTTTCTCGGCTTCCATTTCACCACCTGTAAGCGGTCAGAGGCCAGCTCAGCTAGCTGCGTTTGGTCAGTGAGCACTCCCGGGGTGCCGGGCCCTTTGCAGAGTCCCTCTTTTTGTGGGGGAGCCGCACTGTGCGCCACGTAGGATCTGAGTTCCCAGATTAGGGGTCAAACCTGTGCCCCCCTGCAGTGGGAATGTCTTAACCACTGGACTGCTAGAGAAGCCCCCAGAGTCTCTTAATTGATCCTCAACAACCCCAGAAGGAGACAGGCCGGCAGACAAAGCCACTTGCCCCAGGGCGAGCTTCGGTACACCCTTGGTGCTCCAGCCTGGGGCCCCGGGAAGCCAGGGCTGCGTGGAAGGGCCTTCCACGCTCAGGGTGCTCATCTGTAAGGCGGGGATGGCATCAGCTCGTGCTGTGGGGAGCTGTGGGTGTTCCTTGAGTCTGTCGCTGACTGGCCCTCAAGACTCTCCTGGTGGATGTTCGCTGGGTTTTCCTTCTGGGCTTTTCTCCTGCTTCGGGACCGCCCCCGACCCCTGCAACCCCATGTGAGGGCTGAGCCTTCTGTGGGGAGTAATGGGAGTCGAGGCTGGTCCCGGGAGCCAGGGAGCGGGCGCCTTGCAGCGCCCCGAGGCCTGGCTGTGGGTTCTGTGGCTGGGTCGTTCCCCTCCGCTGCCCTGCAGAGCGTGCCCAGTCTGCAGCCAGGTGGCCGGCTGGGTTTGATGGGCTGGCTTGGTGGCTTCCTGCCTGTGTGGCCTTGGTTTCCGAGGTTCTCGGGGCTGGTGTCCCTCAGTCACCAGGGGCTGGTTAAGAAGCAGGTGGAACAGGATCCAGAGGCATGCTGGCAGGCGGGTTAGTGCTCTAGCGGGCCTGGGCTGGACCAGAGTTTGGGAACCGCTCACCCCGTCTCCCAGGCTCAGCGGTGGTGTACTTGGGAGGGCTTCCTTGGTGGCTCAGACCATAAAGAACCTGCCTGCAATGCAGGAGGCCCGGGTTTTATCCCTGGATCAGGAAGATCCCCAGGAGAAGGAAACGGCTACCCACTCCAGTATTCTTGCCTGGAAAATCCCAAGGACAGAGGAGCCTGGCGGGCTACAGTCCACGGGGTCACAAAGCGTGGACACGACTGAGCGACTAACACATACCTGGGAGGGTGGGGCGCAGGTTCACTGAGGCACGGGCCCATCTTGCCCTTAGGGGGGAGTGTCTTTTCTTCCCCAAAATATACATGGGATGATTTCAACAAATACTACTTTCCTGGGTCCCGACCATGTATCAGGCATTGTTCTAGAAACTGAGGAGGCTGCGTTGAACCCAACAGAACAGGTTCTGGCCCTCCTGGGTCTCACATGCTCAGGGTGGGGAGAGATGGTAAGTCATGCTGCTCTCACCATGGCTGTGAGGTTCCAGTCTGATGTGTGACCGGGACCCCTCCACCCTCCTCTCCTCCACCTTCCTCTTTGCTTACCCCACCCTGGCCGCCCTGGCCTGCTGACCCGTCGTTGAAGGAGGCAGCTTCACGCTCCGGCCTCTTGGCCTTTGCCCTGCTGTTCCCTCTACCTGGGCATGCCTCTCCCGACACCCCCTGGACGCACAGACATCCCCGTCCCCCTAAACTCCCTGGCTTTCGTTTTACTTGTCACCTTCTAAAATGCTATATAGCTCACTCATATATTTCCCCTATTTTTCATCTTCCCTGATAACTGTCTGTGCGCCCCGACCCTGGGCGGGCAGTGGGGGGTTCCTTTGCTTTGCCAGACATTGTTGTATACCCTGGAACACAGACATGAGCACATCGTAGGTGTTCAGTAGATACTTGTTGAATGAATGAACGAGGTAAAACAAATGATCAGCTAGTTCCAACTTCTGGTAGCTAGAAGTCTAGCGGAGAAAACTGAAGCTGGGGGAGGGGTGGAGCGAGCAGGGCTGGGACCCACAGGGAAGTCACCTCCTGATGGGGTGACACTGGAGCAGAGGCCTGAAGGAGGTGAGCAGACAGCCACGGGGGCGGCTGGGAGCTGGAGACAGCGAGGGCAGGTCAAGTGACCCTGAGCCGGCCGCCAGCCTCAGGTCGCCACAGTTCCGTCCTCCACTCCAGGTGTGGGCACCGGAGGGGTGCCCCGCTGAAGGAGAGGCAGCTGCTCCCCGTCCCTGGCTCCCAGGACGCACCCCCCACCCACTCCCAGGGAGTGCAGCCAGCAGGCGGGAAGGGGTTAACCTCAGACCTCCGGGGCTCCCCCCTAATCAGGCCCAGGCCGCTGGAAGCCCTGCTTGTGGCCCC